CCTCAATGGCTGTCCTTCTCTTGGTAATAGCACCCTGCTGAGAGAGCCTCTGAGAACCAATGGACATGGTGGCAGATAACACTGTTGGCATGGCAATCGGGGTTCCTCCAATCAAGAGAACTAGTAAATTGTCAATTCCATCCCTATAGTTGCGGTGCTGGATCCCGTACATGACAACTGCCTCAATGAATAATCCAATAAAAATCGAACAAATGCAGAAATTGCCAATGGCTGTGAGAACCTTCTGAAAATGCCCAACTTGATTGGTGCGGTCTACTAAATGCTCAGCTTTACCCAAAAACGAGTGCACACCAGTTGCAATAACAACTGCTTCTATTTCACCCTGTATGCATATGGAACCAGAAAACACTTCATCTGAGGGGCTTTTAATGACAGGAAGAGATTCTCCAGTGAGAGCAGATTGATCAATCTTTAAAGGACCACCCTCAAGAAGACGAGCATCTGCAGGAATTATGTCTCCCAATTTAACGGTGATTATGTCCCCTGGAACCAGAATTGAAGCATCTTGTTCACTCCATCTACCATCTCTTAAAACCTACAGTGTGTCCCAGAGGAAGGAAAATAAAAACTGAAACCAAGTTTAAAGGAGCAAAAACAAGATGAATATATACAAACTGAGAGGAGCCTATGTTTTCACCTTAGTTTTGGGAGCAAGACCAGCCATGAGGGCTGCTGCAGCATTACCAGCTTTATTTTCTTCAATAAAACTAATGGTAGAGTTGATCAGCAACAACGCAACAATACCAACAAATTCCTGCCAGTTTGGAGGTCTCCCACCCCCATTTACCATGACAATAGCCATGATAGCAGCAGCTTCCATGACCCATGACAAAGGGTTCCACAAAAGACCCAAAAACTTGAGAATCATGCTCTCCTGTTTGCAAAACATCATATTGTCATATGAAAGAATGCAAAATAAAGGAAGCCACATACAGTAAAGGTAATGAATCAAACCTTTTTCTCTTCTAGTTTGTTTGGTCCAAAAACTTGGAGTCGACGGGCTCCTTCCTCGGAAGTGAGTCCAGCCCTGGTACATTTCAGCTGCTCCAACACTTCCTCTACAGGTATCCATTCCTGAAAACAATTAGCAACTTCTTAGTCGAATAAATATTCAGCCAAGCTTCATTCAAGAAGCCAATTTGATCTCTAGAATACTATTTGATAAGCCAATTTGATAATGATTCCCTTGTCAACTACGTTACTCAAAGATGCCGAGGGGCCGTAGCCTTGCCAACTCACTTGTTCCACATGGTTCGGTGCTGATTATTCACACTTCCACTCAGCCGGTCACATAATCATCAGCCAGCTTATTGTCAAATTTTCTACTACTTTTTTTTTTAAAGAAATTTCTTAAAAGGCCTTTTAGACATACGAATTGCTCAATAACTTTTCGTTTTAACTCCATTTTCTCAGCAACTAGACACATGCACACTTCCATACTTTGGTACATGTGCATGCAAATCAAGAAAAACAAATAATATTAAGGAGCTACAGCAAGAGAGAGGGAATACCAAATCTACTGATTGTGTCTTGATCTCCTCGAGGCTTATGGCTCTATCACCGGCCATGGTTGAGGCTCAATGGAGACGGCGACGGTGAGGGAACTAGAGATTGCGCGGCGACTAGCAAGTCCTAATCAAATAACAAAAATGTACT